GGCCAGTCCTGAGTTGTATATCTGGGAGTGAAGTCGTCCCTCTCTCTCGTGACCACGTAACATCAATTTGCTCAGTTAACAAAGAGATCAGAGTAGGATTCTTGCATTACTAATAGCTATGAAATGTATATGGAATAAAGTATACCAAACACCTTGCAGGCTGCTCCATCAATTCTTCAATTCAGAACATACAAGTCTCTAAGTACTAAAACTCGCTTGAAAGTTTATCTGGGTTGGTACTTAACGTTACATGATAAAAATTAAAATTGTACCAACACAAAGCAACTCCCTCATTATTTATGGCCATATAACGTCCAATTAAATTTAAACCCAGCTGTCATGTTTTAACAATGAACACATGTGATAACATAAAAAAGAACCCTAACAACACCAACCTCGTTCATGGAGGGAAGATGTCTATTGCTTGTTTATACCTGTATCTTGTACCAAAAATTGCTTGTTTACATTTCCACATTTCAGGAGGGCAATAGCAGCAGTGGCGCTAACAAAGAGAATTGCCATATCATTGCAAGAAGTTGAGGAATAAAGTTTTCCTCATGTAATGTTTAGCTCGTTGTTAAATTTATTATTTACGAGACATGAGGCAGAGAGAGGTAATTGAGGGTAATCGTTGCCTAGTAATATGGAACCTATTGACGTCAATTCTCTAACCTGCGGGGCTTTAAGAACAAAATTAGAATATTTGTATACTTAAGCCTGTTTGTTCTCCAATGGATGAACTTAAGGTTACTAGGGAAACTTGCTTACTGCTCTGGTCTCATGGTCCAGCCTGGTTTGGGTTACCCTGAACAGGAGGTATGTTTCAACTGTGTCAACATAAGGTTCCCTTTGGGTTTTTATTTTGCTAAGCTAGGTTCCTTGGCGGTTTTGCAAAACTGGAAATCATAAACTACTCTAATACCTGCATTCATCTGTGAGAGGACGCAGATGTGCCCGGAACAGGTGAGGATGTATGATTAGCTGAGCAATCATCTGACTTTGATTTACATAATTATGTATTGGATAATTATATATGATGTAAAGCTATATGAAGAAACAGGAAACTTAGTGCCACCTGTTCTGTTTAAGATTTTGACATTTAATCCCCTGGAGTAAACCTGTGGCATTCCAGCTCCAGAATTCTTGAGGAGTCATCATTCCCTGGGAGAGTTTAGAAGGTGGAAGTATTCCTGCACATGTTTAATGTTCGTCCCACACAGCTGACCTCTAGCATCTACAGGCTGACACAGGTCAGCTGGTCGGGCAACTATCTAGGATAGAGACATCATGCCTGCAGCTCTGCTCCAGATTCTGTAAATCATGGAATATGTTTACTGTTTTCCTAGTGAGATCTCACTGCATACTTATCAAACCAAAAACATGTAGTCTGTCAAAATTCAAATGCAATAATTTACTCCTTTTATTGCAGGATTCTAACTTACTATTAGTTCTGTATTACGTCTGTACTTTTTTTGGGTCAGCAATTACATATACCAACCAAGGCTGCCTGTACTGACCTTGTAATGACATGTATCATTGCCAATAAATACAAATACATTGTACAAGTATAATATGCTACCAGGGTTGATTCAACTGCAAGCTGTTGATTTTCATCTTTCTACACAATTTTAACTAAATTTAAGTATGAATTTATGATAAATACAGCGCCCAGGCCAACATGAAGGATTCTAGGAAGACATCAAATAGGCTAACAGTTGAACAAGTTTGTGATTTGATCAATCAAATTTCTATTCTATTTTCAGAACAGGAAATCAGATTTTCAGCCATGCCAGAAATAGAGTTTCCAGTGTAACATACATACAAACAGTGTCAGGTTATTGAAGCAAATGTCAAGCAGCTCTCGAAGCTGTTTTCATGGTGCTACAGAATTGATTG